CAGCGTTAGAAATTGGCACTAGTCCTATAGTCCTTACCAAACTGCCCAATAGTAAAGGTATCCTAAGGACTAGTAGATATTGGCCCATTTTAAGGGTTTTGCTATATGTTATCATTATAAGGACTAGTGGACAAAAACTGTTAGTTTCTAACCCTGCGGGGCGAACCGGGATTCGAACCCACAATCATAGGTTGCTTGCGTGCCCAAGGGACGCAACTCTGCACAGCGAATCGCGGCGCCTTAGACAACCCGTGCTCCCTGTTCTCAGTGTATTTGTAAGGGCGCACACAACCAGGGAAGGCGACAGGGATGTGCAGTTAACACATGAACGTTTGAGATGACTTGATCAATGACTGGTCACGCCCCATCACGGGTCAAACATTCGTGTTTTCCACGTGACATGGTCCGAGTCAATCTCCCATGACAATTTGAGGGAGTCTCGGTCCCTTCTCTTGCATCGACTGGCCCGTTCGGCTGACGTAGCGATGGCTTTTGACGTCCGCGTACACGTCTCCCGATCATGGCCTAGACGTGCTCTGTGGGGTAAGGTCAGGTCTCATGGCTGACCATTGCATTCTGTTGATGTTTGCTGCAGGAGGTGGTCATTACTGTTATCACGGTGGTCACGAGTATTCGTCTTGAAAGACGAGAATGAAACCACTTATGATCTGCGGGTAACTTCATAAATCATTCTCTTCAAGTAGTATAGGTAATAGGGGTTCTGGCTCACTTCCACTGGAGCCAGATTCATATACCTATACTGCTACTACAGATGGAATTTTTTATGCCAAAATGATTATGCGATTCAACGATAGTCATGAGATTCAGCTAAATTGACTCCAGCTCACCACCACCTGGAGTCTATGATATAAATTTTTATAGGTAATGATGGTTCTGGCTCACTTCCACTGGAGCCAGCTCACCAATACCTGGGGCCAATCATTGCTTTAGATGAGTCTAAATGGTAATAAAAATATTCTTTATTATTTTTATCGATAAAGCGATATTCAACATTTTTATTAAGTTCTTCGTTCATTTTACTAGGAGACCAGACTATATAACTACACTCTTTTTGTAAATTGATAAGAAACAATTGATAACCGTATTTGGTTGGTTTGACATCACTGATATAATAAAAACCTTGTGGTAATTCTTTCCATTGAATAGCTTTCTCCATTATTATATATTTATGTTAGCATTTGTCTAAATGTAATCACACGATAGTAAGCAATCTATTTTTAATCTCCAACCAGTTCTTTGGTTTTGGCACGGAATAATTGACGCGCTTGTTGCCTCCCCTGTTCTATGAACTTTTTTTTCTCGTCTTCGCTAATACCACTGGTCTTACGAGATTTTGATCGAATCTCCTGCTTCATTTTGTTGTATTTGGTGAGTTCCGACAGCACTAAACGAAACTCATCCTCGGATATCTTACAATCGGCCATTGCTGTCGAAATATGATCCTCAATGCTGTTCAACTTTGCTTCGGCGAGTATCCGAATACTATCGTGTTTTAATGCTTTCTTTTGTAACCTACGAGAAATGAATTTTATCGCTATTCCTGCCAGTCCCGAGACTCCAGCTGTTATTTCCATGCCGAGCACGACCCCCCTTAGATACAAAGAGATGGATTGATAATGATGGTGTAAATACCTATGCTTATGGTTATGGTGGTAATACCGTACCGTCGGGAACTATGAACAACTCTTCTCGTACAAATGCCCTACCCGGTCCATCTTGAAGATAATAAAGAATAGGCTCTCCTTCTTTCGTAACCAATCGACTAATGTTATACGTCTTAAGGGACCATATGGGATCGGTTGTGCGACGTAGGCCTCCTTCGAGTTCACCTGCCTGGTATAAATATCTTACCCTTACTCTATCCGGAAGTTTTCGTTCTTTGCCTCTCCTCGGTGCTGAAGATTCGGAAGTCACGGATTTCATTTTAATAGCATCGGATGGTTTCTTCCCTATTAATCTCGTTACTTCATTATTCAGCGCTGATACAACGGCTGATAATCGTGTCACCCATTCGGTTGATCTCAATCGCTCGGATTTCATTTCGATCCCATACTGATAGCCAAACAAACGTTCCGCTAATGTCCTGTTAAATCTTTCGACGATAGCTTGACTGCGGTGGGCCTCTCTTTCACCACGGACGATTTTGACATCGTTCTTTGTTAACAGTTTAGTTACCGATCCCATAAACTCGCGACCGGGATCTACTTGAAATAACTTAGGCCATTTTAGCGGTCCGCGTTTATATATGCGACTCAGTGCATTAGCTACCTCTGTTGATTCTTTCGATGTTAATGGCTCAGCCTCTTTGTATCGACTAGCCACATCCACTACGGTTAAAGCGTATTTATACGTTTTGTGTTTTACCTTATCGTGGGGAAGAAACAAGAGGTCAGCCTGATGAACTTCATTCGTTGTAAAAATATCAAACTTCTTCCTCGGTATATAACGCGGTGCTGGTAAATATATCTGCCACATCGCTTGTTTCTTTAACCAATCCTTGGCCACATCTTTAGATACCTTAGCCGCGGTGGCTAATTTTTTTATTGCTCCTACACCTTTCCAATATCCTCGTGGGCTATAGTAAATTTTATCCATTATTAATTAATATGGATATTTCTTTTAAAACGACTTTCGTTGAATCACATCATCATTTTTATACTAATAGAAGCAATGATTGGCCCCAGGTATTGGTGAGCTGGAGTCAATTTAGCTGAATCTCATGACTATCGTTGAATCGCATAATCATTTTGGCATAAAAAATTCCATCTGTAGTAGCAGTATAGGTATATAAATCCAGCTCCAGTGGAAGTGAGCCAGAACCCCTATTACCTATACTACTCTTCATGATACCTTTTCTTCAAATGAGAGTACTATTGTTTCGAGCAATCTTCTGGCCTTGTTTGCCTCTGAAGTTTCAGTGAAAGATGCGTCATGCATGTCAGGTGGTAGGAAAACGAAATGAAGACCCATTCAGTTGGGTCATTGTTGACGGTGTTGGTCTTGTGTCTAAGCCATGTCTGGCAGTCAGTGGTTAATTGACAATTATGTTGACTTCACCCAGGTTTACCAGAAGCCATGCCCTTCAGAAAAAAATACAGGGCCACAAACTAAGGCTGTGATCAAGTTTTCACTACGGTTGAAGCAGTTCAGTCTGATCAAGCGTCAAATTTCATGTCAGGACTGTTTTATTAGGTCATGTAGGAGCTGATTATGACCAGCGATTCGCTGTGCAGAGTTGCGTCCCTTGGGCACGCCAGAAACCTATGATTGTGGGTTCGAATCCCGATTCGCCCCGATTATGTTTTTGGGTTTGTCAGCACCATACCCGTGCTCGTGGGTTTCACCGAAGTGGTAAACGTCTGAGACCTGCATCACTTGGGCTTTCCTCCCACATTAAGCTGACACGCTATAATATAACTGGAATACTGTTAAAAGCGGCGTTAAACCTAACTCACGAAGTCACTTAAAAAATATTATCAGGGTTCTCTGCATTGCAATTGTGGGATGAAGGCAGTCACTTACTATTTGGTCACACGGTCAGAGGACACTCAACTCATAATCAATTGCCCTCCATGTGCCAGTTTTACTTTACCCTTTGAACAACGTTGCAATGAAATAGTGAATGGCTTTGAAGATTTAAATAATGTTCAGAAGTTGTCACATTTTAAGCAACTCATCACTCTAATTTTACTCAGCCAAAACCTGCAAGGATATTCTACTCCCAAGAAGAGCATGTATATATTTTTAAATCTGTATACGTATAAATTTTATTTATTATGCCTGTTTCTTTTATGTGTACATACACGCTTAATTTAAAGTACGCTTGGTGTCTTATTGTGTTACATTTTTACTTTCTTATCTCTGGTTAGGTGCGAACACACTTAAACATATTATCCGTGTCCTTTTTTTATGTACATATACCGGATTGTCTCTCATAAATCATGTTGGAGTGGCTTGAGCATGTTTTACTTTTGTCTGTATACTTTTATATCGTACGCACAAGGTGAGACATAAATAAACTATCTGTCTGTCTTAAGCATTTCAAAGAACAGTTGCTTAATGCCAAATCTTACTTGAATGTACCAGTTTCGGAAAAAGACTTTTGATGGATACTGAGTTTCAAGAGAATATATGAAATTATCACAGGACAAAATGAAATCTCAGAGTTTGATGAGGTGAGAATGTCTTTGCAAGAGTTCAAATTTGAGATCTGTGCATCAGTTGATTGGATCAGTATGCATATGCTGATTTTCGAATGATGCACGTACAATAGAAATATATATTTACATGTTTAACAGAATATTATGTAAACACTTACCTTGAAATAATATATTTTAAAGTAAGTTTAGACCTGTTAGAGGTGACCAACGGGATAAGGTGCTCGCTGACTTGGTTGATGCATGTCATTGTATCCCATTTGCGTGGATCGATACTCATGATGTCAGTCACTGATTGTCTGGTACAGACTTGATTATTTACAGACCACCGTCACATTGCGGGAATATTGCTGAGTGCGACGTCAAACAACAAACAAAGGAAAAGGAAGATGTCTGAATTTTAACCTTGGGATCCTCTGCTATTCCTGGTGCAGTTCACCTAGGTTTTCACCTGGCGTCTTCAGTACATTAATACAACATGCTGACGAGTTAGGGTTCCATTGTTTGTCATTACCTTTAACAGAATAGGATTTTGAATAAGGTGGTGATTAATTCATGCTCATGTATATGTAATATTCAGCACTCCTTGTGACCTAGAGATCCAAGGATTTGGCTCCAGGAAAACTGTGTTCAATCCAATCACACAGTAATTCAGTTATATATACAGGAGGAAAGTCCAGGTCGTGAATGTCACCACATATGTATCGGAGCAAGCAGGGCAAATCCACCCATCTTGTAATAGCAACTCTCAAAACTTCACTGATGCCTCAAAGGAATGATGATAATACTTGAGGACACAATTTTCATGACAAAACACATTCCTCATATTTCATACAAAATTTATTAGCAACTATACAGCACAAATAGACAAACATGTCAAGCATTAACAGAACCCATGAATCCCATCTATTGGAAACCCCACCCCTCTTTCCCAACCCCCAGCATATCTAAATACCCCTCCCACGTCCCCTTGATGTATCATTCCGTTCTTCCTGATTCGTCCGTCTTACAAGTCTTACCTGTTCCCCTTCCACCCTATACACCACTTCCTTGATTGTTCAATCTCCTCTTTCTTCATAGAGTCATTCATTTCTGATGCATGATAAAACAAAACACCGGCTGATACAATGAAGCCCAAGCCAACCGACCCCAGACGCTGACATCATTCAAACTGCTGTACATTCCCACTTCCATACATCCATACATTCACAGTCACACAAGCACACAAGTTACCATCATAATGGCTCACAAAAAGTCTTGGAATTCTGATGGTTGTTGAGTTTCATAGGAAACTCGAGCTGCTAATTCAGGAAAAAAACTCAGCTAAAATTATGTCCTAGATACCCTCCCGAGCATACTCTCATTATATTCTTCTCCATTCGCGACCAACCTCATCAGGATCAGTATCGTTCTATAAAAATCGGGAAAATGATGCTTGTAGTCCTAGTATTTTCCCTTCGTCATGTTGTTTTGATTTCCATTTTGTTTTAATATATTTAGTCCCCTCCCCAAAACGTGCAGCTAGAGTTGCTATTAAAAGCATAACATGATTATGACACTAAGTATTATGACCACAAAAAAAGAGACTGCTTTGTTCCACACATTAGCAAAAATCCTTAAACAGACTTTCCAACATGGCCACCTGCTCACATAACGTATAGAAATGTCATGGATTAAAAAAAAATAGCATACAAATTTACCAACTGTTCCACCTTACTGCATAGAGTTAAAGAAGTATCCCTTACCACTGTATGTGTTTAAAACAAGCACAGAAAACATCAGACTAATGATACCATGTGTTAGAAAATATCCAAAGATTAAATATAAATTCATTGATTTAACATAGAGGAAATATTTACAACACCTTTTCAAAATAAATAACAAGTTTCGAGTACAATGCCAAATCCAGATATGATAAATTATCTCAAAAGCAAAAGTCTTCCTGTGAATTTAAAATATACCAAGCCACTGCACACCCACCCTCCCCAAAACAAAAAGCATAAATGTATTGACTCACACCTACCTTAACCTGTTAATTGCTTATCCATAACAATACAAAAATCCCATCCTGGCATGCCGACATCCGGGCATAAACAGAGGGGACACTCTTATTAAAGTTGCCATGACAGTTCCCCCCCCTAGCAGATTACTAGAACCTATCACCCATACCCCAAAGGACCAAGCCCCAGGATCCTACCCAGCCAAGCCTACACCCACCTTCCCCCACCCCAATTCCAGAATAACACAACCAACCACTTTTCAAGTAATCCATCCTTTTCCCTCCTCCTTAGAGATCATTTGATATCCTTCTCAACCCTTTACAAGTAAACATCTTTCTTAACCCTTTAAAAGTAAAAATCCCTTTTACAAATTACAACCCATCCCAAAATTTACGAGAATCTTACGTTTTCCCCACCCCTATAAAGTAAACTCTTCCAAACCCCAACCCTTTGCCTTAAGTCCCATTACTAATATTTATATGCCACCCCTAAAATATCAGTATTAAATCCCTTCACCCCACCCATTCAGGATTAACCTACCTTTACCCAACCCTTCCTCACAAAGCCTCCAGGCATGATGAACAATGACCGATCTCTCTCTCTCCAGTCTGCTCTGACTGTCAATGTACATGGACAGTTCAAGACTGTCCTTCCACAAACTTGCCTCCTGGATGAACATCAAGCCTGTCAAATCTAGTCAAAATGTTGACAGTGCCTTCTTATGAGTGAACAGCCAGTATCAATAAATATTCACACACAAAAAAAAGCACCTGAGATTTTCATCTTGATAGGCTGTCTATGATCATGCATTCTTGACAAGGTTCCTTTGTCTACTAGGGAATTGTTTCAATTTGACTGGATTCAATATACCTAACAATTTGTTACCCCCAGCCAAACTGGCAAAGTTAAAATGTTATTATGTCTTGATCATAATTCAAACTAAAATTTGTCCCCATTCCCAGATAAACTTTCCATCTCACAGAGATGAAGTGTACATCAACTGAGCATGTTAGAGTCTTTGTCTTTGGATGCTCTGCTCCTCTGCCATCCAAGTAGACTTGCTCATATTCCCATGGAAAGAGGTAAGAATTCACACACAAGAACACAGCAACTGGGGTTCCTATTTCCCCAGTGCAAATGAGAGCTTTGGTCTTGCATTCTTCTTGTTGAGTATGATTTCCTGGTCTCGCTTTGTGCGCTTTCTCTCCTCGTCTTCAAGTCGTTGTTTTTCTTCCAACATTTTTCGCTGTTCTTCAACTAATTTCAACTGTTCTTCAGCCTAAGATAAAACAAAAATAACATATCATGTTTTGATTCTTCCAATCAGAAAGTTCAGACTGACTCTAGCCACTCTTCCAAAGCAAGATCAGGGCTCAATCTAGCTGCATAAAACATGCACAAGTGCAACCTATTATTGAATAAGATAAATGAAAGGTTTTATAAAAAAATATATTAGGTTTCTGGAGTTCTGCTCCAGAAACGAACGCTACCCTCATTTTCAGTACAAATCCACCTTGTTGTCATGAAAACATAAATTGTAAACAACAAGAAAACATTGTTATCACTATCTCCCACCATGGGAAATATTTGAATTTTGTTTGTTCATACAGCATGTATAGTAGTGAATATAAACTATAAGAAAAAGTCCCATCAAGCTTTAAAATGAGATAGCCACTTGGGCCACTTACATATATACGTCATCAGAAAAGTATATTAAATGTGATATTAATTACTAAAAGGCCCGTTCTCTAGAAAAAATAACTCAATCCTGATAAGTATCTCTTAGATCAGCTAACTTGTCCTCATTGCACAAACTATGCACCAGGTAACATAACATGGAGCAAGGGCCATAACTCTGTAAAGAAATAATTGGGGGAAACCAATCTTTGAACTCAGTCTGGACAAGTATCTCTTAAGCATGCAAAGTTTCATTCATGTCATGTCAGTAGTCTGAGAAAACTCAGCCACAATTTCACACAGTATGCACTAAGTTGAAAAGCATGTAGCAAGGGTCATAACTCTGTAGGGGCGGTCGGGGAGCCTAGTGGTAAAAGCGGTCACGCCGAAGACCCAGGTTCGATTCCCGACATGGGTACAATGTGTGAAGCCCATTTCTGGTGTCCCCCGCCGTGATATTGCTGGAATATTGCTAAAAGCGGCGTAAAACCATACTCACTCACTCACTCATAACTATATTCTAACTCATACTAATATAGCAATATTCCAGCTATGTGATGATGGCATGTAAAAAAACAAGTCAAGACCAGACAAGCAATTGACTGATATTATGATAAAAGATCCATACGATATGATCACACGCAATTGACCAATTCACAGAACCTGCATAACCCATGCACTTTGTCGCCTCTTACAACCAGCATAATTTGCTGGGGACCCATTCTAACTCTGAATATCTACATGGTTGAGCAAAACAAAATCATTTCGGATCTTGTTATTGCTTGCAGGAAAATGAAAGAGCTTCAGTTAAGTTGGACTGAGTGAGTGAGCTTTGAACGCAGCTTTGAACAGGTATGGTGCTAACAAACCTAGAAACAGAATCGAGGCGAACCAGGATTTGAACCCAGGTTTCGGGAGTGCCAAATGGACTCAACTCTGCACAGTCAACTTGACGCACCTTAGGCTACTCATGCCCCCACAAGTTGGACTGAAAAGTACTTACTAATTTTCTTTGCGCGTCTTCAATTTTCTTATTGTTGTCCTCCATTATTTTTTCTAACCTTTCCCTCTTCGCCCGCTCTTCTTCCTAAAATAGATACAAACATAACAGATAGAACTCATGCAAGATGATGCAGGTTCAACTATAATGTCACAACCAAAGCATGTACAGAAACTCCTAAAGCATGAATCTTATGATGTTAGTATGAGAATCTCCTTACAATACACAAATGTGAACATACACGTATACATTAGTCGCAGAGACTGGCTAATCATCTTGCAGAGTTACCATGGTTACATTAATACAATATGATGTACAAGTGGTGCAGAACTTATCAGATTACTAACGAGTAAATTACAAAAAATATTGGAAAATTCTCAGGGTTAACCAATCAAATACCTACACATACAAAGAAACATGTGAAATTACACAGACAAATACAACAGTATAAAAACAGATTTACTCAATAGAAAAAAAAGATATTATGGAGGGTAAACATGAAAGCAGCCACAGTGACAACTGAATGGTTGCCATGTAAACTTTATCACCATGGCAACTATTCTTGGTTATATCACCTTGTTCCGGCTTGTCTTTACCTCTGCTACGTACCAGGAGTGCAGCACTATGAACAGGGCTGCTGATAAGCTGTCGTTGTCTTCAATATATCCGCCATTGACTCACTCCACCAATGGAATCTATCCATTTTTTCAGTGGACTCTATGTTCAACCAATCACTAGCGCCCCCTTAACCAAACTAAACAAAGGCATTTTCCCATCTGAAATTCCATTTCTGGGTTCTAAACATCGAAGCTCAATGTAAGGAACATACTCACTGGGAGGGTTAGGCTGAAGCTAAACTGAGTGTATGTTTTACTCAATCAAGACTTTACATGACAATACTTGCATTTTTTCCTGAAAACGCAAAGCCTTGTTTCTGTTTTATCACAGCATTCCCTAGAAAACTTGGAAGAAAATGGTGGCATGTTAACACTTATTTCAAAGTTAAACGGAGAGCCCATCGCTGAAAAGCAAGCTGGATGATTAAGGTAATACGATCTCAAGAAAACGTAAATTTCTTCCCAGTCAAGGAGTCAGCTTGGGAAAGAAATGGTTGTCAGTGATTCACCTAAAATTGTTTTGAATCGTTAACAAAATACACATCCTGACACAAGAAGACAGCTGCCAAATATACATAGCAATTCCACAGACAACAATGGAAACAGTGTCTACTTCAAGAACTTCAAGAACTTCAAGTCGGATAACTGTCCAAAAAAACCCAACCAAGTTCAACACGTTTACACAAGTGAAAAAAACGCACCGTAACACTAATTCCATGGTATGCATTATTTTTAAAAAAATATTCAAAACTTCAATTGTTTTTGTTACCATTGTTACCTTTATCTAATGATTTGGCAAGCTCCACAGCTGTTTTCTTGCACGACGGGATAAGCAAATTTTAGGAGAATAGTTTTATCAACATACATTTCTAACGCCAAGCATCATCTCGGGGACTGGACAGGAACTGGAGTACTTTTGGCATACCTTTCAACAAGAGTCAATAGACTACAAAGCTATGACCGGACAAGACAATTTATCTCCACTGTGATATTTTATTGAGAATATTTGAAGATAAGACAAGAAATACTGGTCTAACAAGAAAGCGCCCAAACCAAAATACCATCAAAATAAATGCAGATAAACAGTACGTTTGAAAAACAAATGAAGGGCGTAGTAGATGTTGCAGATACAAATCAAAGTGTCATATCTTGCAATGTTCTTGTCTATTCTCATAAGTTCCCAACAAAACTGACACCACTTTTATCAAGGAAGCTTCAACAAACGACATCAGTCTGTCCTTTAGTTCAGAGTCATGTTCTCTGATACAGAATTACTTTCATAATACACAGAACATTAACACTACTCAAACACTGTCAGGCCATAGCTACTGGATGAAGCAACTAGTGTACGGGCATTCTAACAATATGAAGACTTAAGGAGTTAAAAGTCCAAGCAACCATTATAACAAAAGGCATGCCAACAGTACCCATCTGACACACGGAGGTCACCCATACCTCCTTCTTTCTCTGAGCCTCTAGCTCAGCCTCTCGCTGCTTCTCCAGTTCCTCCAGCATCTGCTTCTCCATAATACGTTTGGCCTCCTCTACACGACGCAGGACCTCGGCTTCAATCTCATCTTTACGCCGTTCCAGTTCCTCCTCTACTCTCTTAGCTACAAGTTCCTCTACACGACGAGCAACTTCCTCTTCGATTAGTTTCTCCTCTAGCTCTTTTTGTTTCCTTTAACACAAAAAATGAATGCAAGTGTTACATACAGCCCAAGGCCTAAATACCAGTCATCCACAGCAGAAGGGATGACTACTAGGGGTGATACAATACATATCACGATACATAGGTCATGATATGATATATATCGCGATACGCATCTTTATGCCAAATTGCATAGAAACCTTTTTACTATAAATATTTCAGATCAGGTTCAAAATTAAAAGCTAGCAGGAAACACATGTTCGTAGCAGCTATTTTGTGGCAGTGACCTTGAAGCGCTAATTACAAGGCATTTTGCAATATTTGACTGACAAAAGCATTGGGTGATCATTAAAGGAGTGGTAAATAACTTTTTGAGCATGTGTACCGTCTTCTATCGCTACAACAAAAACAAAATGTATCAACCTAGTCCTGTTCTACAACAAGCATTACTTAATATTTTAAACTAGGGAAAAATTCTATCCCCCAATCCACCAAAATCCCAAGTTATAACCTACAACCAGGGCAGGTCAGAGGCCAGAAAAGCTTGTTTGAAAAGCACTTTACCACTTGTCCCCGCTGCACCATTTGCTGTCTAGATTTCAAGGCGTGCAAGCCCCTGGACTACCCTAGAGGGATGAATTGCATAGTGTTTCGCGTGTTAGGTGGTCCAGCTTCCAAGGTTCTGGGGCTACCAGAATGTATTTCTTGAAAAGCCCAATGGGCTCTACGTGATACTTCTTGGTGTCATACACTGCCGTTCATTTTGCACACGGTCATTTAAATGAAAATACTGACAATGTCGGTTGCATAAGGTCATTTAAACGAAAATACTGACAATGTCGGTTGCATAAGGTCATTTAAACGAAAATACTGACAATGTTGGAAGTACACGATATTTAAAATGATCATCTCATGGTGGGGAAACTGACAGCTAGCAGACAAATATGGCCAGCTATTTCAATATATCATAATGAAATTTTCAAAGAAAAGACACTCACTAATTATTATCAAAACATACAAAATTAAAAGGTACCTGTTTTAAGAAGTTAAATGTCAATGTAGAAAGGTAGCAGTGTGCCTGCCTTACTCTGAGCAATTCTTATTTACAATTCTGGTCCAAGATGAAAGTGTTTGAAATTAAGCATGAGAGTCAAGGGGTCCTTGTCAGAAGCCTTATGATGAAAGTAAAGATGTAGGGAGTCCCTACAAATACTATAGATCATTAGATGACCTCAAGGACTCCAGGACCCACACCAACCAGGGTTGAAAACAACTGCCTATCTGTTATTTCATTTTACTGGACAAATATTTTCAACCAGTTAATTATAAAATGTCAGTTGTGTTGGTTCCTAGGAATACTCTTTTGGCTCCTGCTTTTTTTCATGCTCCTTTGAAAAAGAAATAACCGAGCGGGCTGTGATGATATCATGACAATGTTCCATGTCATTTGTCTCCAGTAAATTCACTGAGTCATTGGCATCGCAATAGAGAGCGAGTGAGTATGAACAGTATTCCAGTTATATCATGGCATCTCAGCTTGCTGCGGGAGGAAAGTCGAAAGTGGTGTAGGTCTTGGACTTTTACCACTTTGGTGAAACTCACGAGCACGGATATGGTCCTCAAAAAACAAGAAACAATCCAGGCAAATAAGGATTCGATCCCATGATGATTTGTTTATTGGATGGCCAAAGGAAACAACTCTGCACAGTGAATGGTGGTGCCTTAGACGACTGTGCTACCTGTGTCCCCGACAGCAAGGGCCTACTGAGTTCAGTCAGGGCCTAGAGGTTCTCATCTTCCCATGGCAAGTGAGTAAATTGACAACAAAAATCCAGTTTCAACCCATGCCAAACTAGGCTGGAATTATGGAGTTATAGTTTAGCTGGACTAACAAGTCTATGCATGGTCCAATCAAAAATGTGTAAAAATAAATAAATCGACATTCAGTTCGTAAACTGCTGTGCAGATTTCAGCCGATTGCAGGATTTGCAAAGCATGTTTTACCCACAGCTTAGCGTTAACAGATATTTTCAAAATCTTTTCATGTTTTTAATCAAGGTGCTCACTTGATTTGATGCACTTCGCTAAGTAAGACACACCTGTTTTATAACAATGTAGATCTTGATTATCCGTCAGATTGTCTTCACTGGGTGATGCCCTCTTATTTGAAGCAAATGCAAGTGATATGGGAGGTGGAATATGATGGTCAATAGGAAGAACATAGAAGAGACATAACTTGTAATAGCAACTACTACCAAGCTAAAGAATTATAGCCGGGGTTTGGCACGGGTGGAAATGGAAACTGGAGTTTCATAGTCATAGTTAACTTCCTTGCCTCGGGGAGAAATTCTATGGGTCCTGATGGCAATCTAGGTATTTTAAACACTGTTCAGGACCAGTTGAATTTCTCAATCTTGGGTCCAGAACCCCTGACAATATAAGGAAAGGAGTAGAACCTATGAAAACTCTAACATTACGTCGTTACGGCGTCTAGTTTGGACCGGAACTTGAGCCAGTTTCAAGCCCAAACTTGGCTCTCAGTCAATATCAGTATCATTATGTGGATTACTATTTCTGAGCTTACTAGACAGAACAGAATTTTACTAGACTGAGGGCTTAGGATTGGGTAACTAAAGTCATAGACTTCTGTATGAGACTATTTTTGTGCTGGCCACTCACTGGAGTCTCTGTCGTTCTAATTCAGCCTTTTTCTCTTCTTCCTCTCGACGCTTAGCCCGCATGATGAGATCTTCATCACTGCTTGAACTACTTGAGGAATACGATCGCTTTCTGAAATGACAAATAATCCAAAGATGATCACAATGTCATGAATTCATGATGTAACAATCTCTGATTGGTTGGGTACACTACCGATGCAAAGAGTGTTGTTTGGAAAAATATCACAAACATCAAATTGAAATCTGAACGAATTCCCCACACTAATCCATAGCTGCAAAGGCTCCTAAATTACAATTAACATTTTGTTACAATGTTCCGAATGGGACAACAAAGTCTGATGATATTGTGGTAAGGGCTGGTAGGGGTTGATAATTTTTTTTATTGCATACATCAATTTCTGATAATACGAGTGGAATACCTCAATTGGACAGATACAACACGATAAATAGACTTCACACCAGTTGATAAACAAAACACCCGTGTTCGTAGCAGATGGTGGTAGGCTAAATATTGACCCTATATTTATCGCAGAAAGAAAATTTAGTCCTTGTGATGTTCTTCTGCAGATTGGCATATTATTTGTAGGAATAATGATGAACTTTAATTTTCTTAGCAAATACGAAAATGTATGACAGTTCGGCAACTACGCCACAGAAACCTGCCAAGGCACTGTTGCTCACCAGACACATTCCAAGTGAGCTGAAAGTTATATGCAGTTAAATTTACAGCCATCGAGTTAGGCATATCAGGCTGTTATGATAGTCTTCAATGATTTTCAGAATATCAGCTGTGTATAATGGTCTTGTGACTGCTAGAGGACAGCACAACACCAATATTATCTTTAAAGAAACTTTAAAGATCAATGTTATGACACCAAACATCCATGCATGATAACTGGTAGTTTCTCAATCTGGAGAAGTAATTTTTTAATATTTTAGATATTTTTGCAACATAGTCAAAATGGACCATCTGTGAGTGAATGTAGATGTACAGTTGAGTTGGGTTACATCATCGAAATCTCCATTTCATTCATATTCTCCCGATTCATATTTAATTTCAAGATAAAAGTACCACCCAATCAAATTACGACCAGAGAAAAATAATGTGTCAAGTTTGAGACTGAGTCAGTGACACTACTTTTTAAATGAAACAATAATGGCAAATGTATCCAGGTGATTAATGATCATAGAAAATAAGATATAACAAACTGGACAATGCAGGTTGGTTGGGTCGGGAACAACTATCATGTTTTGATGCCCTAGATGAAAGATGAAATTTAGTAGGGTAATTATCAACAATTTCTGCTCATTGTAGCTTAATCAAAACCTTTGGAGGTTAGATTAAATGTTAATTCTTTTCAATTAAGGAAAACCAATTCATTTCACTTAAAGAAAATGTCAAGACTAAAAGGGTGACCCATATAGTGCTACATACCTTACTGCAGTGTCAGTTCTCTGGGCCTTGTGGTTTCTGCGGAGAAAATACTTGATGAGATGGTTGTATATATGTTTTAATCTTAATCTTTCATTCCCATGCCATGAACAAACCTCAGCCACATAAAGGTCCTAAATTACCTCCTTTATGTCTTACTGCACCGTCTTGCCATTTATGAGCAAGATTCATAAATATTTTCATTTGGCAGTAACAACAAACCCAGTCATGTTGATTTTAACATCATTCACAAATCTGTTTGTTATAGTGCCTGACCTCCCAACAACGGACAACATGCCATGCCATAAGCTCACTTGAACATTTGGTGAGATAAAGTTAAGTTGCAGAAATAGTCAATGAAACAAGCCATCACCAATTAACACCAAATGCATACAGTGCAAAGAAGATTGGAGATGTTCCCACTTGGGAAAACGATGCCAAATCTTGCTCTAGAATGAATATATATAATGCATAATTTGTGTTGAAAATGACCCCATTTAGGTGCACAATATAGTATACAACCATGAAATACCAGAGAATTGGCATAAGCAGATAAGCTGGTTGTTGAACAGTTTCTATTATTATTCCCACTTTATTTACACCACTATAAGTATTACTTTTGTATTGTTAATATGTATAGTATTGTGATACACAGGGGTTGTAAATCGATGCACTGTATTGTACCCCTCGTATAGCGTTACAATACTGTATCATTACACCACTATGTCAATATGCCAAATGCTTCCTTTCTTTGATCAACTTTTATGACGTCCATTAGGATTGATCGATGCTGAGTTTGGTAAACAAAGTACCTGTCTTTAACGACTCAATGGTGGGCAAATATATATTATCACGGTATCACTATTTTGCGGTGTGATACAAGTGAAACACCTGCTTTACATTACTTCCTGTTTTGGATTATGCATTATAAGTATTATTACGACCTAGGTTGGGTCAACAGACATCATCCAAACAAATGTGTTCTTTCCTGACCAATTTTGAATGGAACAAAAAAAATTCCAGAAATTATCATAAAAAAGTTAACAAGTATACTGACGAGTAACTGTGACATGCCAAAATGAATCCTGTATTCCATCAAGCAATGAAATATTGTGCTTGGATGAGCATAAGTAAACAGTCAACAGGGGTCCTAATACAGAGCCCGCGACAATATAGTCAAACGATAGGCCCTACAAGTATTAAATAGTGAATACATCAGATTGTGACATTAATATTGCGGGTTTCATTATTTTATGATTATTAATAATATTACAGTAGGATAAACAGCAATTGGCACATTGTAGAACTGCTTAGGGATTCTAAAATGTCTAATCAACATAATCAACCAAAATCAGTGACAGTGGCGGTCGTGATGAGCTTAGTTGCAAAAATAACCAGTTCAGGTTTAGCAGGGAGCCCTAGGACTGGGAGTAAGTTATATAAATGGCTAGTTTGAAAAGCAACCAGAAACTGGTCAGTGTGACCCAGCTGCGGTTGGTATTTTTAACGTTTTGGTTTCCTCTGTGTAATATAGCTTCGAAAGCTGTGCATACAAATTTACTGCAGCATTTTGCTACGTGGTTATTTGCTTATAACCTGCACGAACAATGGGAAGAAAGGTGATTAAACTATGTCATTTCCTACATTAATTGCACTGGGGATAATTGTCTCAAATGACTTGAATGTAAGGTTGCAAGGACGGTAACAGCAAATAATATTTTATTATGAGCAAGTGCACCGTTCGATTTTGTCAGGTTTCAACATTATCGATGCATTTCCTTCGCACAAAAGTCGGCAAATATCTAGATGAGTTAATTTACAGACAACTGATTTTCATGAATAGGGATTTCACTTGACGAAACACAGATGGTAAACTCTTCAAAGATTTATTGTGAAGAGTACCTTGCTGTTCGTTTTCTATCCCGTGAACGAGATCGTATCCGTCTGCTGCCTTCTCGTCGATTTCTTGAAACAGATCGTGAACGGGATCTTGACCTGTGTTTCTTGTGTTTTACTCTATGTCTGTGTCTGGTTGGCGATCTGCTCCTTGTTCGGGATCGTCCCATTTTCTTTCCAAGACCCAGTTTCCCTGATCTGAATATACCCAGTCTGGCTACAAGAAATGACCCAAGATGGCGGCTACAGCGAGACTATGACGTCACGAAGCTACAATAGTTGATAACATTTTACACCAAACTAAATTCCTTTTGATGCAGTGTGTTATGATAAAAAAAACGACAGCATTACATATGGCTAGTTTGTACTTATATACTAAGATGTATTTGTAAATTTGGCCCATGAATATAAAGAAAAAATTGTTATACATTATCCCTTAGAAATGTCTTTTAAGACTATCAACGCTGTGAATCCGATTTGTCAACAAAGGGGGACAACTGCTGTGATGATCAAATGCAAGGATTAACCGCACTAGAAACGCATTTTGGACGTCAAGAGGACAATCAGCTGGTATTTTATATAAATATCGTAGTAGGTACGTTTTGTGTGTCGTAATCAGACACTGTTGGTGTCCATTGTAACTAAATTGTTACATCCTGCTGATTTTTAAAAATTATATTTGCTTAATTTTCAAGGGATTTTTTTACATCGATTGACATCGATTGGTGCACTATTAGATCTACATGTTTTAAGAAGGACTCTCCATTTCATCTAGTATGAAATATAGAGGGTGAAGGTAAGATGAGGTGAAATGGTGTTTAACGTCGCGTCCAAGATTATTGCACCTATATATATAGCGACGTGCATGCACGTGTGTGTGGCTGCTTGTACTAGTCCGGACTGATGCCGATTGATAGTGCTAGCCCACTGAGTTACCATGCCGCAGTTTAACATGAATACCCCACTTAGACACAGTATACTGACTCCAAGCCGACCAGTCCTTGTTTTAGCCCTTAATATACCGAGCGCCAGACAGGGTAACAACAAGTACCAGGGGATCGAACCCCGGACTCCGGACCATCCGCTCTCCGGGCGGACGCTCTACCACTAGACCACGGAATAGGCCTAGAGGGCGATGGAGAATGTTAAGTCTCAATTTCTGTACAATCTTGATTTCAAGCGGAGACATTTTCAATAATATAAGAAAAACAATAAGCCTTAACGCTGATAAGACAAATTATCAACGACGAGAATGAAATCATGGTGCATGGATCATATATATATATATACAGGTATTCATTGCCATGCACGCTCTCATCATTAGACCAGGAAGTCGGCTTCATTGGAGGAGGCATATTACATGGCGTTAAATTATATATTTTATGAACGCTTCTTTTATTTGTAAACTCTTTACCAGATAAGAAAAGAAATAAGAAGTAACTAACAGCCTAGCATGTAGTTGATATGTATGAAGGTTTCATGGTGAAATATCATACGGGTTTCAAGTTTTGCTCCCGGAAACGAATGCAATCCATATTTGAGTCAAGTTTGTTGCCATGGAAAAAAAACGAATGCAACTTTCTGAAAAACCAAATATTAAAAGGCTCCACGCATGCAAAGTTTCGGTTCCTGAATTATATTCTGGAAACGAAACGTAACGGGAGGACGGACAACAGCCATTCCTATATACGCACTCCCACTAGTGTCGGGGATCAAGAGGTATACTCGGGATCTGATGCAAAAACAGTGGGACACCCACAGTCAGTTTACCCAGGAATATCTCCTTACAACGGCCGGGGACAAACGTATTTTGCTTGACTGTGTGAACTTGGCAATTGCAAGGGATTCATATTATTATCCCCCTCCATGAAGTGGAGTTCGTCCTTCCGTCCGTCAGTCAGTCCTTGTTCAGGATATTTTACTTCGTGCATAGTGTGTGTAATGAAGACAAGTTTTCTCAGAAACTACTGAAGTTTCATTGGTGAAAGGTTGCGTGCTTATCTGAGGGATACCATCTTCCCAAGGCAAGGAGTTAACTGACTAAAAAAGTCCAGTTTCCGCCCTTGCCGAACTAGGCTGGTATTATGGAGTTACATTTTGGCTGGACTAACGAGTCTATGCATAGTCCAATCAAAACCGTGCATCGAAATCGAAATCCGGTTCGTAAACTGTCCTGCAGTTTTCGGTCGATTGCAGGATTTGCAAAGCATGTGCACCGCCAACTCGTTGTCAACAGATATTTTCCAAATCTTTTCATGTTTTTAATCAAGGTCCTCACACATTGCGCGATGTAAGACCCGTTTTATCAAAACATAGACCTTGATTATCGATCAGATCGTCATGACTGGGCGCCACTGTTTTGTTTCAAGCAAATGCAAGTAATACGAGAGGTGGAATCTGATTGGTCTAAAGGAGAGGCTCAGAAGGGACAGAACTTGCAATAGCCACTGGTGGCGCTACGATAGAGCCCAGGAATTCCAGCCTAGTTCGGCAAGGGTGGAAACTGGACTTTTAAAGTCAGTTAACTCTCTTGCCTCGGGAAGATGGAGGGATACCTGTGAAAACTGAGTTCGAAAATTGGTGCCGTAAATTATATCACATTCAATATATTATTGCTGATATAAAGCGACCCAAGTGCGTTAAATATGTATTTATTGGTAAATACATCACAACTTTCGCTCGTTTACAGACCAAACAGAAACCGGTTGCAAATATGGCTAAGCATGAATACTGATATATGCCTAAATATGGGCATTATTGACAATTCTTTGCTTACGCATTAACAAAACATGTCCCCGAATTGTTGTTTGGTCGCAGGATTAATGGAAGAAAACTTAAAATGTTAATTAGCGCCGAGCTTTGAATCTCGGACCAACAGTCTGTCGCTCACACCGACGGGATCCCGTCTGTACAATCATAATGGTTAGGTTTCCTTGATCTATCAGCTGGAACTATATCCTGTCCTACCATTTTGGAAGAGGGATTTCAGAGTGCTCGCCAAAGACGTGCATGTTAACTGTACCACCCTATACTGAAGACTTGAAAATCAACTGACTGACTGAGTTGGGTTTAACGCCGCTTGAACATTATTCCAGTTATATCACGGCGTGTCAGCTTAATGTGGGAGGAAAGCCCGAGGTGATGCAGGTCTCAGACGTTTACTACTTCGGTGAAACCCACGAGCATGGGTATGGTGCTGACAAAGCTAGACACATAATTGGGGCGAACCGGGATTCGAACCCTCAATCCTAGGTTTCTGGGGTGCCCAAGGGACACAACTCTGCACAGCGAATCGCGGCGCCTCAGACGACTGGGCCACCAGTGCCCCTTAAGTGTACTTAGACGCAGACCGAGACATCCTTGTTGCTGAACGCCCGAGTGATGAGGACATTATCCAGTCGATTGTAGAAGAGCGTGACGGAAACAGCCGAGCGAATTCCGATGACGACAACACGCAAGATGGGATCGACTGTGTGGAACCTGCCACACCCTCGGGATCCTTTGCCGGTGCCAAAAAGTCTCTTGAAACATTCAAGGTTTTCCTAAATACTCAAAGGTCAACCGAGATGACACCATTCGATACTTTGGTTGATCTCATAGAGGCAGTTTCACAAATGCAGCCAGGAAGACCCACTACGCATGGTCCCGTATGTAGTCGTGAAATGCTAAATACATATTTCATGAACAATATTCTAACATGTTATGAATTTAATGTTATTAAATGATTGTTATGAAATGCCATTAATTGAATGCTATGACAAGTAGAAGTCAATGCTAATTAAAGTCAATGCTGCAATTACGTGCATTGGACCTATATCGGGAATCGAACCCGACTCTTCGGCTACCCCACCGCCTCTGGGGTAGGATACGTTCACCTTGGCGCAAACACCTGGTATCACCCCGGACCTATTCTACCCCGGATCTTCACGGGTCGGTATCACACCGGACCTATTCTACCCCGGATCTTCACGGGTCGGTATCACACCGGACCTATTCTACCCCGGATCTTCACGGGTCGGTATCACACCGGACCTATTCTACCCCGGATCTTCACGGGTCGGTATCACACCGGACCTATTCTACCCCGGATCTTCACGGGTCGGTATCACTAGTTTGTTTGACCTATTCTACCCCGGATCGTCACGGGTCGGTATCACTACCCACCTGGGTATTTTGTTTGACCTATTATACCCCGGATCGTCACGGGTCGGTATCACTATTTTGTTTGACCTATTCTACCCCGGATCTTCACGGGTCGGTATCACTATTTTGTTTGACCTATTCTACCCCGGATCTTCACGGGTCGGTATCACTATTTTGTTTGACCTATTCTACCCCGGATCTTCACGGGTCGGTATCACTATTTTGTTTGACCTATTCTACCCCGGATCTTCACGGGTCGGTATCACTAGTTTGTTTGACCTATTCTGCCCCGGATCTTCACGGGTCGGTATCACTATTTGATAGTGGCTCATAAACACATGCTTATGATACAGTCGCCCTCTTCTTTTAGCAGAGAGTTCTTCTGAGTATTGAACTGGTTATGTCGCTTATTCACGTGTTCTTGAACGTTTCCAGTTTACACGTTGATCATCATGTGGTAGGAGTTCACATCGACTCCAGTGCTAAAGCTGAAGAACGGGTTTGACGGTGTTTGCAGCTAATAGTATCAAGATGTCGATTGTAGATTGTATTGTGGAGCTAGCTTGTTGTGAGTGTAACGTTTACTGATTAACGCTTTACACTCTGTGAGTGTATATGGATATTGATTTTAAGACGATAGCTGAACACATTTCGTTTCTTTAACTCCAATCTTGTCCGACCATAATAAATAACTTTTCAGAAGTTCATCCATTTTTTTTATTGAAAGTCTAGAAGCATTGTATTTTTTTATATGTCTTATCGCTTTTATATAAACATATATTCTCATACATTTATTCAGAAACATTTATGCTAGTCATGTGGAGGACATTTAGCGCGTCAATGACAAAAATGATGGAAAGGATTTTGTCACTTTTGTTTAGATGTAATCAGTGGTAGGAAATAGCAAATTTATGCTTCAAACGTTTCTGTGTCCGTGAAGATTCAGGGTAAGAATTGGTCTTCAGCAATCCATGCTTGCCGTTAAAGACGACTATGCTTGTCGTAAGAGGCGACAAACGGGATCGGGTGGTTAGGCTCGCTGACTTGGTTGATGCATGTCATCGTATTTCAATTGTGTGAATCGATGCTAGTGATAGCAATCATTGGATTGTCAGACCACCG